AGTAGCTCAGAATTTTATGTTTAACCCACTTATGCATCTAGAAAACTCCTGCAGATATTCAGGTTAAGTAGCTTGCTTTATTTTTCCCTGGCTGTGGGAAATATGAAAAGAGTCTTGCTTAAAAAGCTCATATTCAGTAATCTGTAATGAAGCTGTAAAGTTGCTCAATATGTCAGCATGAATCCTTCAGTTGTTTGAATAAAACCCTTTAACCTTGTTTTAGGTGTGTCAGCATCTTCCTGTGGACAGAGAGAGGAAAGTTATCAGTATATTTCATGTCACAACAGGACCACAGTTAAACTATAATGAAAATATAGTTGTATAGTTTATAGAATATATAGTTTAAAGAAAAAGCTTATTTTAATCACATATTTAGTTTAACAAATATATAATTGATTATTGTTTGTTGGTTCTGTTGTTCACTACGACATGCTTAAAGACTGAACAAGTTACGGGAACCTTTCTGCGAACCAGGGGGATCACTGTTCAACATCACCAGCCAAACTGATTTGGTGCCCTGGGTGCAGACACACATGTGCCGCTGCCTTTTCTCCGCTTATACAAGTGGGAGCACATCAAAGCCTGCTTTAGATAACCTAACCTGATGTTACTCTTTAAGAACTCGGTAGTTATGCAATGCGGCCCTCTGCTGCCTCGTGCCTTTGTGCTTCATAAGGGCACTGTGCTGAATTATATGCAGCAGATATGAAAGAAGCATTTGGATTTTTTTCATTCTTATCTGTGTAACGTGAGAGCGTAGGACCTTAGATATGCTCAAGGTCTGCTGATAAGGGCAGTTAGATCCACTAATGTGACTATATGGTTGTTAGAAGTGGAATGGAATGCTGGCACTGCTGTTACCTCAGCAGTAATATATCTCTAATGAGCTGAGAAGGGCCACTAGGTGCAGGTTTGCAGGTTTTCTATAGAAAAAAGATCTTTCTCTGCCTACTGAGGGTCATTAGGGATACTTACATACAGCAGTAAGCCATTTAATAAGCGCGATGGTCTCCAGAATTTCTCAGCAATCTGTGTTCCTGCAGGTAGCTTATGATCCGTCGGCCAGCATAAGGAGCCATGGTGGGTGTCGGGGTGGGGGGTCAGAACACAGAGTCCTGCAGCTCCTCAGGCTCCAGGCTCGTGCCAGCTGGTGTTTGCTTAGCGCGGTCAGTGTTGCTGTCCCGTGGTGCCCTCCTGGAACGGTGCCAGCCCACAGCTGGGTTCAGGACCTCAAAGCACCTTGTCATTTCGCTTTATTTTCCATGGTTCCCCCAGGAAAGCTTGCCACTCCTCTTTTTCAGAGTCTGCATGCTCCATGTCTGGGTTATAGGCTCTTGACAAATGAACGAAAAAGGAAGAAAGGAAGGCCCCAGGCAGCCATCTGTAATATTAATACATTTATTCATGGGGTATTAAGTAGAATATTTCAGTTCATGACCTTGCTAAATCGTAAGATGTCCTTTGGCGCTTGTCGGTTGGTGCTATCAGGCACCCTTGACTATAGTGCTGTTCATCAGTGGCGTGCAAAAAAGACCTCATCATTTAGCCCTCGGCAGAATCCAGGTTCACTTCTTTGTGACCTTAAAAGGACATTGCATTTCCCTAAGCCCGTGGGGTAATGCCTTTTGAAAGGTGTGTTAGAAATGGCTTTTTGGGTGGTAGTTTGCACGTGGCGTTAGCTGCGGCAGTGGTCCATAATCTGAGCTGGAGCAGTGCTCTGCTTTCTGTATTCAGGAGTTATAAAAGCAGGATTAGTCTCTATCTGCCCTTCTGCGGAGCAGGACGCTAGCACACTGTGACCCACATGCATCTGAGAGATTGAGAAGGTGTGGTAGAGGGAGAAATTTAGATGAGGTGTGTGTTTTCTGTGTGAGTGACGTGTGTGTGTGTGGCAAGAGGAAGGAAGGGGAAGGAACAAGGGTGTGTGTGTGTGTGTGTGTGTGTGTGTGTCAGCAAGAGGAAGAGGAAAAAAAGCATTTGACAGGGGGAGACAGAACTGAGTGTGTATGTGTGTGTCACAGATAGGGAGAGAGCGATCTAGAAAGCTTAGTGAGGCCCAGCAGCGTGAGGACAGGTGTGACCGCGGAGCCCCGCAGCCTTGTGACAAGGACAGACCGCTCCTGCTGTCTCTGGCACTGACGACTCCTCCCGCAGGACCAGCCTGCAGGGGCTCCGGCGAGACACGCCTGCCGTGTTTCAGCGTGGCAGCGCACGCCGCTAACTATGTATCATCGCATTCCGGATGCAGCCATTTGTCTAAAACGCAGCAGAAGTGGGGCAGAGGTGCTGGAACGCTCACTGCCCTCCCCAGGTGCAGCTCTGTAACACTGTCTGTTGATTCCGAATATTCAGCTTCTTAAGCTCCAACAGCAAAACACCAGGAATCCACTTACCAGTTCTGGGCCAATGAATTGGGCCATTTTGGGAAGCAGTGGGATTATTTTGCAGACTGGCAGCGTTTGTTCTGTCCAAAGAAACAAACCGTTCCCTCATTGTTCTTCATGTGTGATTTATAAAATGCTCTGTCCAGCTGAACCTCCTTTTTTTGCGTGGGTTCATGTATTTATTACTTATCAGCTCTCTCATGTCAGTCATTTATTTTGCAGATTTTGTCCAAATCAAATCTTGCAGTTACAGTGAAGTAGCTAGAGCCTGCATGCCGAATGCTGCTCGACCGGCCGCGGTTTGGCAAACATTGGCAAAGCGGTGACAGTCCTGTGTTTTGATCCTTGGAGTAGTGCTGGCCACGGGTACGAGTAGCTCTCTGTATAACGTAAGGCACCGAGACGGTGTCTCAGCCGACTGAGCCAGCTGTCTGCACACCGCTGGAGGGCGTCCATAAGGACAGCCAGGGCTTAGGGGCATCTGCTCGGTAGTGTGTCACCACCGTAGGCACGGCTCTGGCACGGCAGCCAGCGCGCACCAGATAATTAAATGGGACGTGGAGGGTGGGGGGCTATTTTTGGCCGTGATGCTGTGGTGCTGTCGCGCCCCTGACAGTGTCTGAGAGATGACACATACATAGATCAGTGCAGGGTGGGATGTAAAACCCCGCCAGATGACGGGCATCACGCGTCCTGAGAACACAGCGGCGACGTCGCGGTCATGAGGAGCTGCAGGCCACGTACAAGGCCCTATAGGCACGTTAGAAGATGTTTACTGTACTGTGACACATTCATACAACTTCAGTGCGGGGTAATTAATGCTATAACTACAGGTCTGCATTTAAACCTAAAATAGTGGAAATGATTTAAGGTCATATGATGGGCCTTGACTAAAACATAAAGTTACTGTGATGATTATTGGGATTATATTAGTGTAATTATGAGAGTCTTTTGTTGGCTTTGCTCCTTTTGTGGTCCTTCTGTGAACCATCCAAGGTCCCGACCCAGTCATGGCAAATATGACAGCTTCCTTGAGCTGAGCCCAGGTCTCCCCCTCGCTGCTCTCTGGCTGAGGCTCACTGGTTTGTGGAGGGGGTCACCTCCAGCTTGGGCTGAGCTCCGTTCTGGGCAGTAGATTGGGTTTCTTTCCACTGCGTCACCAGGGAGCATGCGGGGCTGCGTCGTGCTGGAAAAAAACAGTGCTGTGTCAGGTTTCTACTTTGTCTCTCGTACAGGGCCTTCCCGTCAACAATCTGGAAGTGAGTCACACTGTGGGAAGCTGTAGGACCTAATTGGACTCTGTTTGCTTGCTTGTGTGTGTGTGTCTTTGTATTTACCAGATTGTGGAGACCAAATGCCCCCACGATGTGGTAAAACCTGTTACTTTTTAGCTTGTAGGGAAGTTTTTTCAGATCCCCACAATATAAACCTGTTTTAAAAAAATCTGTAAATGCCATTAAAAAACGGAAGTTGCCAAAAGTTTTGGATTTTGTTTGGTTACTTGTGGTTGAGGTTGGATTATGATAGTGCCTGTAGAAATGAATGGATAGTCCCCATGATGATAGGTATACATGGCTCTAGAAAAAATTGAGACTAATCTATATTTCTTAAAAATCTGCATTTTAAAATCCTGATTTAATCTGGTTCTGCTGGCAGAAGGCTACACTGTGAGGCAGGCTTCTTCCAGGCTCAAAGTTTCTAAGGCATCATACACAAGAACAAGGTGAAGCAGGAGACACTGGCAGTGGCCAGAAACCAGTCAGGTAGAGGGCGGAAGCGACTTTCTAATGCCAGAGATGACTGGTAACCTATCCGGCAGTGTCTCATAAATCGGAGGATGACCTCAAGTGACCTTCAAAAACAATGGGATACATTAAGTGGTGTGAAGTGCACTGCTAGGACAGTTCATAACAGGAAAGAACCAGGCTGGAGTTTCCAAGAAAATGTGTATCTTACACAGGCACATATCCATAAATTGAGAAGTGAATGAAACTGAAAATTTTGCCTTGCTCTCTTAATTTTTTCCAGTGCTGTATGAAGTATGCAGGCGTGTGTGTGTGTGTGTGTGTGTGTGTGTGTGTGTGTGTGTGTGTGTGCGCGTGCATGTGCAGGTGTGTGTGTGTGTGTGCATGTGCAGGTGTGTGTGTGTGAGAGAGACAGAGAGAGAGAATGCATGTATCATATAACATTATGTGGTGAAAATGTGTTATTTTGATGTTGTGGGGACCATTTTTTTGGTCACCTCAAAGGAAAGTTGGTTTCATGAAAATCTATAACATACTAAAAACCTCAAAAGTATTGATTTTGTTTGGTTACTTACCTGTATGGTTAAGGTTAGGGCTGGGTAGGTGTTAAGGTCGTCAGTGTTGGGATTAAGGTTTTTCCTATAGAAACAAAAGGAGAGTCCCTACAAAGATATGAGTATAAACGTGTGTCTGTCTGTCTGGTGAAGGGACGATTGCCTTCTGGTCTCCAGCTTTAATCCTCTCGTGCCACCACTAGATGAGTCACTGCTTTAGCTTGTTGGCAAACTCTCTCTTTCTCCCCTTTATACTGTGAACTTGATGGTCGTTACTTTCAGTAACTCATTCCCCCCTCCCCCCCGTGTATTCACAGAACTCCAAGAGTGCCCAGGGGCTGGTAGGACTACGAAACCTGGGGAACACGGTGAGTTGGCTCTCATGTTCTTTGCTGAAGTACAGCTACCGTGGCTTCTTACGAACAGGAGTATCTATGCATGTCTGGTTCTAGGTGATCACAGAAGGAGGCCTGGGCCTCATGCATGTACTCTTCAGATTGGGTTTCATTGAAACCACTTGCGTGTCATGTGTCACGCTGAGTACAGACTGTATGTACCCTGGTTCTGCTTCCTGAATGGGAGCCCTTAGGTAATAGTACAGAGGGAGTTCCAAAAATAAATTCTTCCCCACCAAATACAAATTTAAGTATAACCCCCCCAACCCACTTCTGCTGTTCCTCCATTCCTTTTCAAGAGCACTTATCTGTTGAGCATTTTAATTACTGCTCATGTCACTGCCGTGGCAGAGATCCTCGCCCACAAGCTCTGTGTGACGTTACAGAGCAGCAGGTAGTCAATACAGCACTTGCAGGGCTTTTTTTCGAGGTGCCCTTGAGGGTGGTACTTAGCCATGAACGGATTTAATAAAAACCCAGCTGTAGGAAAAGAACGTCGCTTTGGGTAAAAGTGGACCGGCTTAGAAATGTGACGTAACGTAATGCAAGAGAGCTTTATTTTAAAATCCTGTTTGAATAATAAGTGTATGTGTGTGTGTGTCTCTCCCACAGTGTTTCATGAACTCCATCTTGCAGTGCCTGAGCAACACGCGTGACCTGCGTGACTACTGCCTCCACAGCTCTCACCGGCGAGACCTCAACAACAACAGCCGTGCTCACACTGCGCTCATGGAGGGTAAGGCTCGGCCCGGCCCGGCCCGGCCCATTTTGCAGAGGGCCCCGGCGCTGCCACCGGCCTCCTGTGCGGCCTCTGATGGCCCCCGTCTCTCGTCTCCCCCTTCAGAGTTCGCCAAACTCATACAGACGCTTTGGACGTCGTCGGCCAGCGAGGCCGTCAGCCCCTCTGAGTTCAAAACCCAAATCCAGAAGTACGCTCCCAGATTCGTGGGCTACAAGTAAGTGGTTTCGACCCCCCACAGGAAACACTGCTGTCCAGTCTAGTTCAACCTAGTTTTCCCCTGCATATTAAGGTAAATGTAAAATAGCAAAATTGCCCCACCCATTTTTGTCCCCATGTTTAATGTATTTTAAATGTAGTTGCTGTTAAGGACCTCTGTAAAGGTAGCATGTCTTCACTGTCCAGTTAAAAACATGCATCACCAAAAATCTCATTATTTCAGGAATGTGAAAAAATGCATTTTTTCGGAAACTACTTTGCAAAATATTTCTAAAACAATGTAATGAGACACCATTAGCACCAGAAATAGAAACCTCTGTGAACAGATTAATGTTTTAATTGGACTTACGTGGATACCTAGCTATCAACGTTAACTCTTTCAAATTAGCCATATAAAGTAATTCATATAAATGACTATTGTGAATATAAATTAGATGTCAGACGCTATTGGTAGACAGGAGAATGGGTGTACTCCATCATTAATAAAAAATCACAACTGTCAAATAGTGGACATACATGGTTTTCATTGGACAGTAACATTAACTTGTTTAAATTAGCGATTATAAAATAATTCCTACAAACGACCATTATGAATGCAAATATTAACTAGTATAAACATAAATACTAGTTAAATAGCCATGGTGATATAAAGTAATCGATACAAAGGATCATCATGAATACAAATGTTAACTAGTTAAATAGATGACTTTCATTGATCAGTTTGATTTTAAATGCTATCAGGAGACAGAGGAGAGTGGGCATATTTCCTCAATAGTAAAAAGTCACAATTGTCAAACAGTGGACAGTGACGATATGTAAGGGTCAGAGGGAATTCTGTAAGCAGAACATATGAGAGCAGACTACAATATGGAGTAACGTAACCAGGCTGCCTTGCTCTCCGCATGCTCTAGCCAACAGGACGCACAAGAGTTCCTACGATTCCTGCTTGATGGGCTGCACAATGAGGTGAACCGGATCGCTGTGCGACCGCGGGCTCACATGGAGGACCTGGACCACCTGCCGTAAGTACCAGCCCCCAAGCCCATGCCGTAACCCTACAGGGCCTCATACCGCTGGTGGACAGGCCGCACGTTTTATTTAGCTAAGTGGCAGGGGGTAGCATGGCTTGATGCGAGATCTCACCGTTGGGCCCTTGAGCAAAGCACTTAACCGCAATTGCTCCAGAGATTGTATCACCCTGATTTCTCAGAAATGTCACTTTGGATAAAGGTGTTAGCTCAAAGGAATAAAATGAAATGTTTAATACAGCTTTTTAGTTTTAAAGTTCTATTAATGATGTCTTATTTCACTGGTTAAAAATAGCATAATTATTTTTAAACAGCATAATCATTTGGAAGCTTCATGTGTCCCAACCTCTAGTACCCTTTATGTTGTATAAAAAATATTCAATAAAGATTATTATATGTAGAAAATGTACCATTTTATAATTTGTGGGTTGATCTGCCACATTCTGCTACATTATCAGTTCGTATACCAATGACATAATTAAATGAACCCAATCAGCACCCAGAAACGACACGGTAATCATTGGTTTTAGGTATTTAAATTTGCTTTGTGCCTTTTACAGTCCTGCTGAAAGGCAGATCACCAGAAGTGTGTTGTGAGCATGTGGCTGGAAGTTTAGACCTCTTCTTTCCGTGTTGAGATAGACCTGCTAATGAGCACAGGTGGCCCATTAATGTAACATTGATGCTTCATTAATGTCATATGGGATTTCTTGTGTAACTAAAACTGGAGTCTCCATAACAGTTCATAAACAAAATCCTCAGTTTTATCTTGCCAGTCTGTGTTTTTGTATTTGATTTACTGGTATATTGCATGTCCAATTAAAGATAAATGTTTAATTAGTAGAGTTGCATTATATATATGTGTGTGTGTGTGTGTGTGTGTGTGTGTGTGTGTCCACTGAACACAGTAGTATATTTACAGTGTCTAAAAATATAGACTTTATATTTTAGATTTGGATTATTTTCTTTTTTAGTCTCCTGTGCGGGGCCTCGAAGCTTCTAACAGTGGGTTCATAATGCGTTCACTTTGTTCGTCATCCAGTGAAATTCCTTCAGCTGTCATTTTTTTCCCATTAGTCACAGAAGCTGACAGCTATGCTGTTGGTTCCTGTCACAATGTTATATAAACGTTTACGGACCACCCAAGCCACTAGCGGCTGTTTGAAGGAACCCAGCTTTGCCGGGGAAGGACTCTGTCACACTGGGGATTAGCCTTCCCTTACTGGTTGGCCCATTAGAAGGCCACCTGGAAATCAGGCCAGGCAGGTGTGGTGCGAGGTGATCTCTGTGACACAGGTCTGTTCCTTTTCCCTTCCCTGCAGCGATGACGAGAAAGGGAAGAGAATGTGGAACAAGTACCTTGAGAGAGAGGACAGCAAAGTAGTGGGTGAGTGTCCAGCTCGCTGCCGCCTTCACATGCGAAACCCTTCCGACACCTCCCTGCATGCGCGGAACTAGGCTAACGCGTCGTCAGATCCAGACATCCGGCAGAACTACGTGAAATCAAGACTGGTGCAGCAAATGGGTTTTATTTATGGAACCAGGCTTACAGAAACTGGGGTGGGATCAGCGCAGAAAAAGTGGCAAATGTGAGCAGAGGTAAAACGATCAATGATGGGGGGGGGGGGGGGACTTGGGCCGAGCAAGAGGGGTGTGAAAGAACCGGATGCAGGTCGCAGATCGGGGCTGAGAAAAGGGAAGGTAAACACTGATATTGAGTGGTGTACAGGAAGGAGCAGGTGTATTGAATGAATGTATCCAGTTTCTCCTCTCAAGACATGCCATCCAAAGCTAACCAGTGTGTCTGGATAAAAAATAGATCTGTGGCTCTGATTTTGGCTGGGCTGGCATCTGTCTCTCAGAGGTGGACTGGGTTAACACCTGTAGTTTTGAGTAGAACATGGTTAATATCTGTCTACCTGTGTCTCTGCACAGATCTCTTTGTGGGACAGTTGAAAAGCTCCTTGACTTGCAGCGAATGCGGCTACTGCTCTACCGTCTTTGACCCTTTCTGGGATCTCTCCCTGCCCATCGCCAAGGTATGTGGCCTGTCTCGGATTAGCCGCCCCGTTCACAGGACCTGTGGGAAATCCGAATCGTTTTATCGCTGTCTGTTACCCATAGGAGAAAGGACTAGAAAGACGAATGAGTGAGTGCCACGGGTCAGGAGTGCGACCTCTGTGGGGCTTTTGTGGATAACAGCTAGTATGTTTGACCTCTCTGTCCACAGAAGACCTACGGGGAGGTGAGTCTGATGGACTGCATAAGACTCTTCACCAAGGAGGACATGCTGGATGGCGACGAGAAGCCGGTGAGTTCCTGCCAGCCTCCTCTCTGCCACTCACATGACGCAGCGAAATGACCAGCATGGACAGTCGGGGACCACTAAACTTTAACAGCCTGCCATATTTAAGAGGGCGTTTTATAGGAGGGAGGTACTGTTTTTAGATACCAGTAAAAAGAGACTCCCTGCCTGGGGGGCGGGGGGGTGCAAACAGAGCTCCTAAAGAAATAGTATTAACGTGAGTGTATGTGTTTGCTTGCAGACGTGCTACAGATGTAAAGGAAGGAAAAAATGCACAAAGAAGTTCACCATCCAGAAATTTCCCAAGATTTTGGTTCTTCGTATCCTTTGCCAGCATGGAGAGACTTAGTTTTCTTTTTGGAGAATTTGGCATTCAGTTCAGTTATCAAACTTCAGATTAAACTGTCACCCTATAGTTTGTTAAAATGCTTTTCCACGTATGAATTGATATATTGACAATAATATTACCACATTCCATGGAATGATGTTTCTGCGTAATATATAAAAATATATATATGCCCTTGACTAGTGCCCTCACCCAGATCTGAAGCGCTTCTCAGAAGCCCGGGTGCGAACCAGCAAGCTGTCCACGTTCGTCAACTTCCCCTTGAAGGACCTGGATCTCAGGGAGTTTGCGTCGGATAACAGCGGTGAGTTCCCAGCATTCCTCTCCACCCTTCCTCTGCACGTGTGTCACCCTCAGGTAGACCAGATGACGGCCAGTAATTATGAGAGAAAAATAATCCATCCTGTCTTATCTTTCTGTAGTTCATGCAGTATACAACCTGTATGCAGTGTCCAACCACTCAGGCACTACCATGGGGGGCCACTACACATCATACTGCCGCAACCCCACGCTGGGGGACTGGTACAGCTTCAATGACTCCAGGTTGGCATGAATTCTGTTCTCTGAGCTTTCATACGTGTGCAGCCGGGGAATTGGACATGCACAAGCAAACACGCATGGGTTAGTGGTGTATGTATGTTCGTTTGTATTTAGGGGCGCAGTAGGGGCATGGATACCCTGGCAGATTCAGGGCGCCCTGCACTTTATAGGGGGCCCTTGAATACTTGAAATAAAATAAAATTGGACGGGAGCAAGGCGACATTTTGTCAGGGGGCCCAGAATTGCCAGCCCTGTGTGTGTGTGTGTGTGTGTGTGTGTGTGTGTGTGTGTGTGTGTGTGTTTGTGTTTGTGTGTGTGTGTGTGCGTGCGTGCGCAAGCAGGTATACCTATCCTTATGGGGGCACAATGTGAATGAGCGGGCCCCATAAGGATAGATATACCCGACATGTGTGCGAGTGTGTGTATGTGGGTGGGCAGGCGTGTGTATGTGTGTGTGTGTATGTGTGTGTGTGTGTATATGTGTGCACGTGCACGAATCCAATTCCCTATGTGCCTGCCAGAGCCTCTTACCTCCCTGTTCCCACTCTCCATCAGTCCTCTTTAGCACCCTGTGGCTTTCTCTTTCTCTTTCCCTCTCTCTCCTCTACGTCCGCCATCTCTCCCTGCATGTCATCAACACCCTGGGCTTTTTTAGCACAGCTGTTATTGGATATCGGCACCAGAGGCCTAACCCTGTCTACATCCTCTGTTTCCATCCTCTCGTTCTGTGCTGCCCCATCTATAATAACCATGTGTGCCTTCACAGCCCCTCTGTGTCCTCCTGAGCTACCCCATGTGTTTGGCTTCCTCGATCTCCTCTCCTTTATCTGCTTATTGTTTCTGTACTAAGGCCTCTCATCTGCACCTCTCCACAGAGTAACGCCGATGTCCTCCAGTCACGTGCGCAGCAGCGACGCCTACGTGCTCTTCTACGAATTGACGTCTGGCCCGCGGTTGTGAGGTCCCCCTTGGACATGGGCGGGCCGGCGCAGGCTCGCCGGAGCATGAATCGGACTACTGAGGACTAATCTGTCAGAGAGGGAGCTCAGCACATAAGTCCCCCTTCCCACCTCCCCCATCTCAGAGCTAGACGAACGGGAACCCGTTTTCCAGTGGGAAGGAGAACATCTGTCCCAGATCACCTGAGAGAGCTGGAAAAGCATTGGGGCCAAGGCACCTTCATCATATGTGCACACGCCCACATATGTGCATATAGGCCTCTTGTGATGCCGGCAGCGTACCTTCAGGCAATAACCCAGACGGCTCTGTCTCAGAGGTCCCCTCTCTATGCACTGCGACAGGAGCCCTCGCTCGAGTTACACCGTTTGTGTTTTCCAGAATGCCTCAGCCGTAGAGGCTCCTATGGTTTTTGGTTTAACACTAACCCCCCAAAGCCTAAAATCCACATAACCTAAATGGTTCTCTGATGCCCCCTGCTGAAACATTTTGGAACAGGGGGCAATGAACATAACTACAGACCTTGTGTTTTCACCACAACTTCACACCTCTCTCCACCCGCATCCCCCCCACCTCCATACTCTGCCCTTCCGTTACACGCACACAGCCCCAGTGCCTATTGTTCGTCATCTCTCACCACTCCAGTCCACTACCCACCTGACCTACTTCCTCCCTCTTCATTGGCCTGTTTTAAAACCTCCTCCACCTCTCACCCATTGGCGATGAGGGAAGGTGTTAAGCCATGGAAGGGGGCCATGTTTTTGTATTGTCACTGTGGGGCTGCTAGAAAAGAACTGTGAATGGACATATGACGTAAAATAAAAGCTCATAACTATGGATTATTTTCACATTGACTTCATGCCACTGTACAACATGGAAAGAATGTTCTGAAACACATACATGAATTGAAATGTGTGTGTCTGTGTATGAATATTTTTATATTATGATGCAATATAGAGAATGTACTATGCGGTGGTGCTGAACGTGACCCATTACTGTTTTTGGTTTATTTAATAAGCTAAAGAGAGAATACTTTTGTTTGATGCTTATTGGTGATAATGTGATGAAGTCTGTTTTTAACAGGGGCAGTTAAAAAAAAAAACCATATAAATAAAAACATTTTGAGAATCTTTTTCCCAGTTCCTGCTCTTGTACTTGGTGTGCATTCTGGAGGTACGCCTTTCTGCTGTGCTGTTTTCCTGCGCGTTTAAATCCCAGGAGGTGGAAATTTATGAGTCAGCTGTTTAACCTGAATTGTTTTAGTAAATATTTAGCTGTGTACATTTACATTTAATTTATTTAGTAGACATTTTCCCCTCACAGCCACATACAAGTGAAAATCAGAAAGCAGGGACGGCCAGTGTCCATGGACTAGCTGGGGTTAAGGTCCTTGCTCAACGGCCCAACGATGAAATCATTACACCAACCACGAGGCATGAACCGGTGACCATTCGAGCACAGAGGCACTGAGTCCTACCTTACAGCCACACTACCCCTGGCTATGTTACTAAACAGGATAAAAGAATCTGCTAACTGCATAGATACAAATAAGGTGTTACTGGATAGGTGACATAAACATGACTAATGTTACCTAGGTTGCAAAACAAAGTGCATACATTCGATATTTATTTTAGCTCAGCATCATGCTCTTTTTATGACACCTTAAGGTCATAGATCCCTGCCCATCTTTCAAAACAGTAAGTGTGGTACCCCGATGCCCTGGCTAAAATTGCCCACTGCTGCCCTATCAAATCTGGGATAATCATCCCCTATATGTAACTGGTCTCACCCTGCCGCTTCACCACCTTGGCTACTGTGTGGTGAGCGTACTGTACATTTCTGTACAGTTCGTTTACTTGGGCAGAAATGTTCCTTTAAATTTATTAAAACTTGACACAACGGTCCGCAAGGTGGCGATCACTACCACACACACGGAGAGAAACAGCTTCCTTACAGTATGACCGGACTGCGCTGGTGAGGAATGCTAACAGCCTCAGTCACGGGGATAGCATTGTCGTAAAGGCCACACTGGGAAGAAGCTCGGTGAGAAAGTTCTCAGTAAGAAAGTTGTTTATGTTTTTTTCCACTGCAGCTGAGCAGCCCAGACGATTTTTGCCCTTAGGGGAGCACTGCCTCTCACACGAAACACCAGCATCTGACGTTCCACCCGTATTGGATGCTTCCTCATCCGAGTCCTCAGGCCGTGAAGGTCCTGTAGTGTATGCTGTGTGTGTCTGCGCTGATATGCACTAGTAAATTTCAGGCTACCCATTACCCCTGCCAGGATATGCGGTTCGAAGACGGATAGTTGGAAGCCTGATGTGCAATTTCTACTCATGTCCACTAGAATGCGCAAATTCTATAAAAACATAATGTAAGAACAGTATTTTCACCGAAGAATTTACAAGGCGATGGTGTTTTGTCTTTCAGTCATTCGCATTGTCAGAAATGGCTATAGGAGCCCCTTACGCAGACGTTATTTACAGGTCTGTTGTATTAATTTCGATACGCCTGCAGCATGATTAACCTGAGTTGTTTTCCGCTAGGCTGTTGCTGACTTGGCATGTCATTGGTTAATAACGTTGTCAATCAGACGTGGTCAGATTCGTGTATATATCGATTTCCCCGCCCTATTCTGCGGCAAGTCCGCTTTTCTTTTGCGTATTCGTGGTGAGTCGCTAATTTCTGTGCGTACAGGTAAAGGGATGTTCATTTTATCCATCTACACAATGACGCTCTTTAACTTGTTTTCGTCAGCATGATAGAAATGCCGTTAGCATCCATAGTTAAACGGCATTTCATTATATATGAATCAAGTTACAGATTTATCATTATCTGTCATTGTTGCTGTTATATAAAGCACGAAATTAAATGTGCCTCGTTTATTGCTACTCAAAAGAAACCCCATCCTGGTAAAGCCTTTCCCCTTTTATCACCTTTTGCCCCCCGCCTTTGGATTTCCATCCTAGTGAATAATCAAGTTACTCTACTGGATGAAACTGGATCCGGTTCAGAAATCAGCTGTTAAGAGAGTAATAAATATTTAGCGCAACTGCGCAGTTAGGTCGATGTGTGGCGCTAGCTGGGACCAAGCATCGACATTGTGCTTTCTCAGGCGCTCTGTCCTGGGACCGCCCTGGTGCCAATCACCCTGTTTCCAATGGCCATGCAATATGCGAGCTCTCTAGCTCGGCTGTTTTGCCATCGGAGCCGTCCTCAGTTAAGTCATTTTCTGTGTTTCCTGTTGGTGCCTCCTGAGATGATACAGCTCGAAGGGACTGTTTTGATGTAATCTTAGTACATTGCGTTAACTATATACTAGTCACAATATATTCTCTAATGATATTACAGTAATGAAATTGACACAATGTTAGCATCTTTTTGATAATCGCTACTTTATAAAACTGAAATGTTCATTGCCGATGCCATGATACAGTGTTGTTTTCTGCTAAGTCATTGGCTATAAATGTGCAGATGGCTTCTCAGAAATAAGTTTATATGCCGTGATGTTTTTGGATGTACAGCCATATGAGTGACATTTCTATTTTATTCATCTCTGAATTGTGGAACGAGGTATATATTAACTGTGAATTAAAAGCTGGATTTCTGTGACGCTGTGGATAATTGAAAATCAAGCTTAATCATTTAGGAATGACAATCAACACACAGACTACTGATTTCTGAGCTGCTTATGCCATTAAGCACAGACATAAGCTGAGGTAGATGGGTGTTCTGTTGAAAGTGGGCAAGCATTTTGGGGGTATTTCACTCTGTCATCCACAGGATTTGAATCCAGCATTATTAAAACTGGACCTGGACCTTGAAACAGCCTTAAAAGTAGCCAGTAAGTACAACAAGTGGACAGAATAAGACTTAGTTTTGTGATTACATCCTATTTTTGTTCAGCATCAAACTGAATCTGATCTAGAGTCATTTTGGAGTCTCCTTAACATTACCGTTCTTGAAGGTTCAATCAATAATGATGTCATGCTCCTGTTGGGGAACATTTGGCCAATACCAGAAATGACTTTGCAGCTCAGAGGCATTTGCAAGGCAGCTGCAGCTAGTTGCCAACTCTTCTGCTGAACTCAGAGCAGCAAAAATTCCCCCACCTGCCCAACAAAAAAGGGGACACGCCTGGATATATTACATAGCCAACAACATTAAGAACAACTAAGGAAAACACAATCCATGCTAACTGAGTGTATATTTACTACAATAAACCTGCTGTGCATGTTTAAATATGCAATCAATAAATGTGCAAGATTTTACTGTAGCTCATGCACATAAAATCCATGCCATTTGCTTCTGAAAATGCTATGCAAATATTCCACACTGTGCTAGAAATGTGTTGTTTGCCTCACTTCTACATCGCTTTGGACAGACTATCTGGTAGGGTGCCACTTCACAATAAGGCTACCCATATAGAGAGTTTATGAATGGTTTATAATCTGGTTATTAATTAGGTTGTAACACTTTGTAAATTATTAGAAGACAATTTTAAACAAGTTTAAAACATAACAGTTTTCTTTTTATTAATGAGCCTTATTGTAAAGTGGTACCGCTGGAAGATATAAAACGTAAATGTGTAATATTAATACATGTGGGATATTTAATGTAGTTAATAACTCAATTTCAGTAGACTTACATTTCAGAAAATTTGGGTTAGTGTGCACTTGTGTAGTTGAATGCGTTGTTGGGATTCTATAGGCAAATTTTTGGTGCATGTTTGGAAGAACCATGTTCTGGGGTAGCAACTCACTCACCGACAACAGCCACCCCTGCCGCTTCTCCAGGTGACAGTCCTTCAGTGGTCCCCTCTTCTGGGGTCTGGTCATCAGATGGATTTGTCAGATTGGAGGTTGTTGGACTGGTTTTCGTGTCCGAGGAGGAAGAGTCCACTGATGTCAGTACTGCTGTGCCCATTTGCGAGACTCGCTTGGTTTGAGGACGTCATCGATATTGTTGTAGGGGTCATCGTGGTGCTTGCGAATACGACATAAACTGCTGAAATTGAAATAAAGAGAGCAACAGGAACACCTAGGCAGGAATGAGAGCCCCCAGATTCAGAAGAGACGTCCGAGTAAGTGTAAGATGGACACCTCACCTGCACACAGCAGAACGCAGAACCTTCCAAGCATGATTCCCTCAACAGGCCCTGAGTTCCTGCTCTCCAGAGAAAGAATAAAGCCTTCTAACCAAAACATGCAGCCCCCAGTACCACCTTTGCTCAGTCTCACATATTAAATCTCATACTTAGTATGGTGTCGATTAATGCATTATAGTTCTATCAAGTTCTAATATAAATCTAAGAATTTCTCACAATTGTTAAAACACACCATACCATGGCTTTTCCAGAGAGAAAGAAAAAAATGAAAAAAGAAAAGAAAACATTTTCTTGACGACATCCAGGTAAGCAAGCTATACACCTGAAGTACAATAACTTAGCATATGTAAAACATAAAACTACAAGAAGGGAAAAAAAAAGTCTGTGAGAACCGTTAGTCTGTGAGAACCGTTTTACCATGGTAAATGGTGATCATTTCAGAGCTAAACGTTAACATTTAAGACGGAGGAAAGAAAGAGAAAATACAAACTGTAAGTCATAGCAACTAACCACTTGGGATAATCCAGTTTTCCGTCTTTCTCGTCTGTCACCTTAGGTTTTTACTCCAATACTTTCTGGGAGTTTGCGCCTGCTTTTATTTTTTGGGGGTTGGGGGAGGAGCTTTGCTCATATGCAAAATATCTTACATCCAGCAATCCGGCATGACGTGCACAGGCAAAAGCCACATTGGTGTCATAAAAAGCCATAAAGTTGAATTTGTAGATCAACAGACTGTTCGCATGCTGTTATCTGTATATGATGAGGTCTAAGATAATAAAGCCCTTCCTATTGGTTTTCAGGAAAGCGGAAGGTCATAGCTGCTTTCCTGAATGCAAACATAAATCCCTGATTTTTTAAATAGATGTGTAGATGGATGAACTTTATTACTCCTGAAAGTTAAGTAAAGTGATAGATCTACAATGACCCTTGACTGGAAAGGCCTAGGATCTACAGCAGAGGTCTCCAACTCCGGTCCTGGAGAGCTACTATCCAGTAGGTTTTCTGTCCCACTTGGCTTCTGATGAGCCACAGCTGCTCCTGGTATTTACCTGAGAACAGGTGTAGTTCATCAGAAGCTGGGTAGGATAGAAAACCTACTGGACGTTAGCTATCCAGGACCGGAGTTGGAGACCCCCGATCTACAGGATATAATATGAATATAATATCTACAGGTTGGTAGACAGGGTTTATTACTTTCTTTGGACAAATTAAGTTATCTTTTTTTAAGTATTTATGCTTATGCCAAAATGTTTACACCAAAAAATGAAATGTTCACTTAAGTTTGTAATTCATTTAAAAATATCCTTCTATTATCCAACCATTTTTGAGTATAGCGTCATAGACATAGCTGTTGTTAGGGGCTACAGCCCAAAGTATTTTAAGCCTCACCCCGAGTATTTTAGCCCCAATGCCAATCTTCCTTCAAAAACAAAAAAGTCAAGACCCAGGTAAACTTGATTTAGCCCCTGATCTGTTCAATAGGTAGAAATTCCCCTAGTCATGGAGAAACAGGCCTATTCCAGGAAGTATGCAAGACAGGGAAACATGCAATGACTACACACACAGAGCAGACGTGGAATTTAAACCTTCAGCCTGGAAGTATGAGGCAGTTGTGACATATGCACAGTAACAAATAATTTAATTTCAAAACAATAACACTATCTCAGTTAATGTTGATCAAGTAAAAAAGTAATTTGTACAATTTTGTTTTAATAGCTGCAAATAACCAAATAAGTTTCAGGCATTGAATATCATTTTTAAACATTCCAGACTCACTTGCAGCAGTAGAAAATGTGGTGGATTAAGATCAAACGATAAATATATGATTTTTTTAAATGACAAAATAATCTTACAGGTAAAAAAAAAAACAAAATTACTTTGCTAAAAGTTTAATCACAGTAGCAATTAGTGTGCTAATACTGTATAGTTGAAGAAACAAAAACGTCTAAAGAAGGAGTGATTCGTTTGCAAATGGGCATACATTTTAGGACCCAACAACACGCCAGTACAGTACGCTTATTTCAGGCAGACAATGGCTTAAGGGTAGCTCATTGGTTACTGCTACTGCCTCACACTTAACGGGTTCTGGGTTCAATTGTTAACTTCGCTCCATCTGTGTGAAGTTTGCATATTTTCCCCATGTCACAATTTCTCCCGCAGTTAAAATGGTGCCTCGGCCGTGGTGTACGATTACTTCTAGGCCGAAGCCCAGCCTGGGGCCCTGCTATGGCTGGGATACGCTTCAGGCGACCCTGCTCCAGATAAGCGGCTACAAGATATATGGAGATGCGGTTCTCCGCTAGTAGGTGCTGTTTCCACAGACAAGTCACCATGCTACCGGGCTCGTTGAATGTTATCGAATGTTGTCGAGCTGAGCCTAATCGGGGACAAGGCAAGAATTACGGGCGTTCTCGCTGCACCGAAAGATGGGATTTCTTTCCCACTAGCATTGCCTTTCAGTCTGCTGCTCCTGTCCTGCTTACCACGCTGGTTTTCTTTTTGCAGGAGCGTAACTTTTCTTTCCCCCCCGCCATCACATTAGTAAGTTTCATTTTGTAATGCAGTCCGTTAACCACAGTTGGCCGGGATAGCGGATTTTACAACCCAGACGGAAGAGCAATCAGTCCTCGGATTCTTTCACCCGGCTCATCTGTATACGATACACAGCAGTTGCTGGCGGGGGGGGGTTCCAGTGGCAGTTGCCGGTGACTCCGCCGTCGGTGGTGTGAACGCCAATGCAGCCTATAGCGCACACGGTTGATCCCGGTCACTGGTATTAAACGCGGAGCCCTAGAGCCGCCTGCCCGCCTCCGTCCCGCGTTATAAGCAGAGAAGCGGAGCTGCTCCGCCAGCGCGACGCCACAATGTTGCAGGTGCTGTCTTGCGGCGTCGTACTTTTCCCCGGACTCTTTTTCACCTTCAGAAAACTACTGCCCTGTGCTTTTAAAAAGTGGACAGATGCGGACGTGGTCCTGGTCAGCGAGAGGTAACCGCTTCCATTTAATTTCCCTTTACTTCCATCTGCATTCGGTTAGTTTTGTGGGCAGTAACTGACGATGTAGCCGCCGGTGTGCCGACTTTTACCCACCGGCTTCCAGTTTATACGCGCGGCGGTACCTAACTTAGCGACCCCCTACTAAGAAGTTGTTTTTGAGGAGGAGGGGAAAAAAAAGTTTAAATGACTAATGCTTGTTGGTTAATTTTTATTGGTTAGAGGTAAAAACGTACTTTGTAACTGGTTATTATTTTAGCACATTTTATTTTTTTATAAAATATTTCTAATTTTGCCACCATTAACGTGTTGTAGATTTACGTTTAGATAAAATATCCGGTCTAAGCTAGTCGCTTCTATGTACTCGAGTGAGGCACATATTTGAACCCGTTCAATAGACTCCTTGTTTATAATCTTCCTAAGACCGGGCCGGGGGGGGGGGGGTTGCAATGAAAAGTGCTGAGCTCAGCTTAGCTGAAAAGACTGGCCTTAATCACTCGTGCATATATTATTGTAGTAATGATCTAAAGATGCTGCTAAAGATGTGCGAAATTTCTCATGTTTCCCCCGGTTCGCGATTCCATATTTTGCATTTTCTTATTTACCCCCTTCTCGTGTTTTGCTCTCTGTTCCATCGGAGAATGAAAGGCCATGTAACTACTGCATGACGGAAAGTATTTTTTTTTTTTTAAAGGATTGCTTAGTAAACTGTTTTTCCGGGCATTAGTGTCCGGCCAGCAGGTGTTCTTTCGAGATTAAGAATATGTAGTTTGTGAAGATGTTCCCGGCATCTTCCACTCTGACTCATGTACGGGTTGGGAGGGGGGGGGGTACTGGTGGTGGCGGTAGTTAGCCCCAGACAAGGTGAAATTCGTTCTTAACTACTGACCTTAGCTTATTCCCCAGCATATCTTCTCTAATGGGTTTTTTTGTTTGTTTTTTTACTGTCTTCGGATTTCAGATAGCATAGCTTCTGTTTCAGCTGTGTTATGTGTCTGTTGAGTGCCTGACTGTTGATTCTGCTGTCTCTGTGCAGTTTATTTGCTTAGGACTGCACACTCATGTCTTTTCACCTCACACAACCTGGTAGCCAAACTGACAGCTCTGGAACTGTATACAAAGCACCTCGCTGACTGCTTTCTCAGATGGTCAACACCGTCTACACAGGCCCGATTTCACATTACTTCATCCGTTTCTCTGTGTCCCTTACTAACAATCCTATTAGTGGTGTCCCTGTGTGTTCTGTGAAAAGGGAATTGTACTACTGACTTGATTTAGTTTTGCATTCAAGCTTATGAGGAAACTAATTTTCTTGTAAAATATCTGAAAGGAAAGTTTCACATTTGCACCATTTTGTTTTATTGTTTGCATGAGACTGATTCTGCTTGCTCTCTTTTCCATATGGATCTTTGGCGGCAGAGTAGTCTTCCCTGTTTAATATGCATGTTTTTGTCAATGGTAAACACTGCCGTTGCATGTGAGTAAAAAGGGCCATCCGCGTTTTTCCATTTCTGTCACCACCGGCCCTCCCATGTGACTCGGGCTCCAAGTTACTTGGGACTTCATTACCAAGCAGCTGGGGGTTTAGGAAGTTGTGTGTAAACTGCTTGCAATCAAAATTGACAAAGAACAATGAGAATAACCTTATTCGGGGTCTCGGAATCAGAGGGAATGAAGCTCATCATGTGGTACTGGGTAGGAGGAAGAAAAAACACATCAAATGAATACACTTTTCCTTCCACTATAACTCTCTCACACACACACACACACACACAAACATGGAAAATACAAAGAATGCATTGTGTAAATGTGGGATTTGTAATGGTATCTGGCCCTGGATACAGTAGGAGTGTGGTGTGTGTGTGTGTGAGGGAGCGTAAGTTAAGCTGAGTGTCCTGAATAAGGTGTTTCTATAGCCACTGCCCCTGTCTCAGTGCAGGATTGATGGTGTTTGGTGTATCTTTCATTCCTAGATTGGTGTCCACCATCCACGCCATCATGGCTACCATAGCAGGCTATATTGTGGTGTCGTCCTGCAACAACGTGATAACTGACCGGTAAGCTGTGAATCCACACCCCAACTCCCATTCATCCCAAACCCCTCAGTTTGGTGCTCATCCATTTACCCTTGGGACCCACGAGTTATGGAAGTTTTCCTGTTTCCCTGTACCTGTGCTAATATATCCTTCTGGACCATCTAGAATGATTCTACTCTCCCAGGCTTAGCTGTCTAGAGGTTAACTCGAGGGGTGTCACTTGGGGATCGTATGTTAAAAAATATATAGTCCATTGTAGTAAATTTCCAGTAGTGGGCCAGTAGCAAGGGCCCTGCTTGCCTGTCAACTTTTGATGTGTTTATTTGTTTGCTTTTTGTTTGTTCCGCTTTTAAGCCACTTGCAGATAAATTTTTCCATACGAGCGCTGTAGCTGTTGTAGTCATGGGCACATTTTGTTCATTGATTACTTCTTCCCAGATTGGCTTACAGTGATGTTTAGATGTGCAAAAGGGTGCCAAGGCAATTTGCTGTGCAGATTAGTAAATCACGTGAGCAGTGGCACGTCTGCTAAAGGCATTTTGAGTAAAAGAGAAATGTATCAGCTGTTTCATTTGCTTAGTAACTAAAAATGAAAGATTCTGACAAAACAGGCTTGCATTTATAAAAGTATATTCTAGCAGTGTAAATGTCATTAATAGTCTGCTTAATAATTTTCTGTGTTTTAAATACAGGCAAATGTATTATTGTTGGAACTGGTACTAGAGTAAGTAGACATTTGCCGATGGAAAATGGTCGGTTTGTTCTTTGAACACTGAGCCGTTTCTTTGTTGTTCACCCACTGAAGGGAACAATTTGTCTCTCCTCTGTCCCAGGCACTGGCTTGCCATGTACTTTGTGATGTGGTACGGTGTGCCATACATGACCTATGACATCTTCGCCATGTATATGAGCCACTATTACCGCTTCCGGGTCAAAGGGCACGAGGAGTACAAGGCACATTCGTTCAGAACGGTCAACGCATTTCTCCGCCGAGAGTTCCAGCTGGTGCTGCACCATATCGCACTGCTCACCCTGCTGCTTCCTGTCACAATGGTGAGACGAGGCCCTCACAAATATTTTGAAAGCTGCACGTTAATGCATACATAAAATCTTGTTTGTATGAAAGTAAGTGATCTATATAATTTTGACGTGCACTGTTCACTTTATCCCAGCAGAAGTCTGCTTTGCTGAAACCAATGTTGAGTGACATGATATCACATTGCTACTCCTTTTATTATTTAGGTCCAGCTGCGGGCTTGATACTCCACCCCTTTCCTCGTTCCCTCCCACTCTCTTTCTCTCCCTCATACACACACCCCTAAATGTGAACAGTAGTCCGCGGGGACGGACCGGTGTCGCGTTACAGTCGGCATACTCTCTGATGCTATCCTTTTGTTTTCGATGCTGATGCCCTCAGCCTTGAAATGTTTTATTTATCGTGATAGGCTGGTTCTGAATCTGACGTCACTTTTTCAGTTAGGTGGGTTGTCTTCCCCCCCCACCCCCCACCGTAACACAAAACTGTTTGTTTTTGAGACAGGTTGTGCTTTGTGCCATGACATAAATTAAAAACAGAAGTAACATCATAAATGAGCATGTTGGGTGCGAGAGTGCCCACCTCATCCTGGAACTGGAAATGCAGATTATTGACGAGTACTTACTGTGCAACATCTTTTGAGAGCAAATGCTACATCTCTTTAGACTAAAATCGAGCTGCTTCAACCTTCCCCTCCCCAGCAACTGTAACTGCTAACAAGAAATGAAGTACATCTGCAACTGTAACAAATACTTTGGGTTTCATAGTTTTGGGTTAAGCTGGTTGTCTGTTGGACTGATCTGTTAGCCAGATGGTTCTTCACCCTGTAGTCCTCCTTTTTATTTTTTTAAACAGTTTTTCAGGAGTGGACTGGGGGACTTCTTCATCGGGTGCCTGTTTTTGACGGAGCTCAGCACCCCGTTTGTCTCCCTGGGGAAGATCCTGATCCAGGTATGATTAGGTCTCGTACCTATTTTGTCCCTGTAGCCACGGGCAACGCTACAGTGGCGCTGCACCAGCCACACAGCACTGAATGCAGATCTCCTTAGGGGAGATAAAGGCCCTGTCGAGTGTGCTTTTGTTTTAAGTGAAAATAATATGACCTTTAGCATTTATGCTCGCTGCATAAAGGGAAGTCGTGGGGTGTCTTTGTTTCTTTGAGGCCGTCCTTGCATTGCCTGTCAGATCATTCGGAACTTGGTTGGTCCGCACCACAGAAAGGCCAAATGACAATCTCAGGCAGTTCTTTTGTGGACTGCTGGGATCTCTCTGGCCTTGTGCCAATTTCACTGCTCTTTTGCAGTTGTGTGAAGAAAACGGAAGTGAAGCAAATTCTCAACTGTTGACCTTGCTGTCTGGTAGCACTGTGTGGGTCAGTTTTCGATTCTTCTGAAAATGGAAAAAGTCTGGAGGTTAATTTTAATGTGGTGGTTCATTCTGTTTCTAATGATTCAAAGCAATGCTTTCTGTTTTTTTCCGCTTTCCCCATTCCTCCCACACCTAGCTGAGTCTTCAGGAGTGCTGGGTACACAAGGCAAATGGCATCCTGGTGCTGTTGAGTTTCTTCATGTGCCGCATCGCGCTCTTCCCCTACATGTACTGGGTGTACGGCCGGCACTACGGCATCCCGCTCTACAGCGTGCCCTTCCACGTGCCCTTCTACGCTAACCTGGGGAACGCGTGCATCCTAGGACCGCAAGTCTACTGGTTTGTGCTTCTCTGCCGGAAGGGCTACCGGCTGTACAAGCGGCAGAGCAAGACACGGGACTCCATTACTGTGACGGACAACTCCAAGAAAGACGAGTAGATCCTGCTACTGCCACAATCACGGCTACTATTACCATGACTAGTAATAACGCTATTGCTACTGCTGCTACTTCTGCTGTTTCCTGTGCTGTTAGTTCTACTCTCTCCTATACCTCCTACCTTAATGCCACCACCTTTTTTTTTTTTTTTTCTTCTCGCTTCCTTTTTACGGCTCCTCCTCTACAGTCTTTCACCTACCGATGGAAACGCAAAGCCGGCAGGAACTACAATCCAGGAAACGGCCCTCTTTCCAAGGGCACCCAACGTTAATCCACAAAAAAAAGGAACACCTTTGAGTTTCGCTGAATGGATCCCTATGGCTGTGGATTTATGTATTTCCTGGTCTTGTTTAGACCAAGTTTCCTTGTTCCACTGTAGAAGCAGGAAGTAAGAGGTCAGTCATGCAGGGCTATGCTGGTTACTTTTGCCAAGTCCCAAGTCCCAGCTGTTGAGTTCCAATTAGGGGCCTGTTGAACGATGTGCTTGCTAACACTCACACTCCATGCCTGTGCTTGTGCTGTGCATCACATTAGGGGCTGCATTGTCGTTTGGAGGCCGTAAGTTGAGCTCACCACTCACCAGCATTTCTGTACAAATCCTGTGGTGTAACTTCCTAACTGAGACCCCCCCCCCCCCGCCACCGCTGGCAATGCAGTCCTTGCATCCTTCACAGCGGAAGTCTGTGCAAACCCTATGCTCTCCTGCCCCTGTTTATGAGCTTCCGTTTTGCATTAAAAGCGCAGGACATTGACATTGACATTGGCCAGCATCATGGATTAATGGTCACATGCAGTGGATGATCCCACAAAATTCCCACCACAATTTTCTCCTTTGCTCTTTTAGAAGACTCCTATTGCATGGGTTCAATAAAAAAAAGAAATCGATGAGCCTGCTGCAAATGCAGTAGAAAACAACTCTCTTAAAGATCAAAAAGACAGTTGCATCAAAGTAGTTTCTATTATGGGTCTGTGTGTGTGTGTGTGTGTGTGTGTGTGTGTGTGTGTGTATGGTAGGGAGTTGATTTATTAATTTTTTTTTTTTCCCCTTCCCTGGTTGGGAATTTAAACCTTTTTTTTGTCATGATGAGCAGCACATTTATAATTAAGGAGATAAGGGAAGGAGAGTCACTCTGCTAGTAAGCTTCAGTGTATTTAGGTCCAGTTACTCCAGTAAGTGATGAATTAGCTCTGAGATCACTCTTAACATCTAATTTTAGGTGAGTGTCATGTCTGTTTGAATGCATAGTTAATGAACATGTGAACTGAATGTGCTGAATACAATCACTTATTCATATTTCGTATCTGCAGGAGGGAATATTGTTTCACGTACTGATATGTCGCTGTCAAAAGCATGTGCAATGCTTATAGCATTTTGAGTGATTTGGTGTTATCCGCTCAGAGTTGCCACAAATCAGGGCTGTTGTGAATCAAGCTGAAAGCTTGCGCGAATATGTCATATAAAACGCATGTTTTTATACAGTCGACAGGACCATTGTCATCTGTATGAGGATGTTTCTGTCTTTGTGACTTGACAACGAAGCATACTCATTTTATTTATTTATTTTATTTATTGATTTGTTGTTTTTGGGACCATTAAATGCTAAGATGGGGGGGTCTGCTGGACGAATGCATTTAGTGACGAGTGATCACCTGTTGCTGCATGTGAACAGTATTAGCTGTAGAAACCACAGATGCATCTCCCAAATTGCCCTGGCGCCACAAAGCAGGCAAACCTAAAAAAGCAGCACATTAGCTGCAGCAACGTTAATGTCAGTAGTGGATTGTTCCATAATAATGCAGTGAGATTTCACGGAACACCATAGTTGAATTTGCTCTCTAGAACTAGACCCAAGACTTCTTACCAAATACCTTTTTGGAATTTAAGATGCGTGTCCATTATGAATGTGACCTGACTGTGTCCTATAGCTATTTTCTTTGCATTATCCATCATTTGCCTGTGACTTGGGAATATTGGGGTTACAGGCATAAAAAAAAGAAACGTATAATTTTATCTTTGACATTTTGAATGTTTCCTCCTTTCATTCGCTGAGCCATTTATTGATTCTTTAGCCGTGTCTAATTTGACGAGAATTCTTAGCTAGTGGGCAATTGACTTCACAAACACTCTGCCGAACCCCTGTCTGGTTCGGCCTCATTCTGCCCTCAGAAATCTGGACCGTCTCCGCTAGTTATCATTGGGCTACCATCTCTGCCCCCTTTGCGCCAGACCTGAGCTGAATGTCCTGTTCGTTTATCTTCCCACCCACCCGACTAAGGCCTAGTGCGACTCTGTCCAGGCGTATGTATGTGTACGGCTGCTCGCCTGATTGTCGTGGTACTGAATCGCCTCGTCTGCTCTGATATGGATAAGCGTGTGTCTCGTTATTCTCTCAGAAATGCACCTCAGTCATTAACTTATTCCAGCTTTTCACTCCTACATGAGTACGTTGGGTTGGCTTCCCTGACAGGTGCCTTGGCGATAACACCAGATAGTTGGGGGGTAAACTGATACTCTCCGTCCGGCAATAAGGAGGCACAGTCTTGTTAAGGTTACTGTGGATTGTTGCCTCAGAACTGATGCCATCTTGTCTGCGGTGGTATTAGGGCGCAGGGGAAACTAGCCTTGCAGAACTGGCATGGTACTTTCTCCCAGTTCGTGACCCATAGAACTCAGCCAGGTGGGAGTTTTCTGGGGATTGTCTTACTGGGTGAATTGTTAATTGCTGACCACTTGTGAGTCCTGGCCGCCCTGTCGTGCAATCCCCTTAGCTCAGACTTTCTCGGCAGGAAGTTGTTTGTTTAGCTAATACACCGGCTGGGTTCTGATGAGAGTGGCTGCTTACAGCAGCTGTCTTGTCCTCGCATCTCAACTGGTGGGACAGGAGGTTGGTCATCAACCCTGGGCAGCACCACTGAAACAGCAACTGACTTGGTAAATTTGACTTTCGCAACCTCTTTGGAGTGAAAGGATCGGTATGTACGGTCATTAATTCTTCAGTGACCCTGATAATGTTACTGATCTTCCTGAGGAGCCCAAATGTTCCATGAAGTTTGGTGATTAAGTGGAAGTAATGATGGTCGTTATAGTAAATTTCCCATTTGAGTCTTCGTGTGACTGTCAATGGCAGTCTGCATTATTAGGTAGGAAGGCATGGATTAGGCATTTTTGATATACTTTTAATGGTATTTTTCATTTACAGTATCATCTTAAAATTTCAGCTTGGTGCCATAGAGCCATCCTTTCTTAGCTCTGGGTTTGGCAAGCTGTAGACATATCTGATATCCAAGTTTTTTTTTAAACTGAATAAAAAAATGAAGGCACCTCACATTTCATACTTTGTAGTATTTAACTTGCAATGTTTAGCAAAAAGAAAAAAGCTCGTGCAGCTCCCTTCCAGAAAATTCTTCTGCATTTCATCCTTATTGTCGCTCTCCTACTATCTTGAAGGTAAACAACTCCTCCCTTTTTTGCAGAACACATAGTTAAGGCCTGCATCTTAATGTACACATGTACTGTAGTCCTAGTTACAATTAACTAATATGATGACCCTGGAAATGGCATTTAAAAAGTGAACCTGGAACCAAAAGGTGTTTCATGGTTACGAAATTGCAATCCATACTCCTGTGAGTGGAAACGGGTAGTTGAAGATACGTGGCAGGCCTTCAAATCTTCATCTCAGTGGCCTCCACACTACCACTATTTTGACGCCATTATGATGTACATCAGTTCATAGCGATATCGTTACTATACATCTGTTTACTGAAAAAGCTGATGTATCACGGACAAGGAGCATTTTTATTTTTTTTGAGATCCAAGGGTTCACCAAGAAAGATGAATGGAAAGATCAAATGATCCATTGTGATTGCTTAAAAAATGACCGTCAAGGCTACGTATTGAAGGCTGGAGAGAAAACCAAATTTATAGAGAGTGCCTTTTAAATCTATAGAACCAGCAATTCAAAACAGATAAGTGGTGGCAGGTAGTCTTGTCGCTGTATTTGTGTCTACTTAATTTCAAAAGGTGATGTGGTTATGTGACCTGGAAGTTTGTAACATGAACAAGCCAGGTATTTTTGCTGTGTGCATGGTAGTTATGTTTAATATCATCTGTTACAAGCCCTGTCAAAACAGAATTATTTCTATTATACGTCTACGTTTCAGGGTGGAGGGGTCATTCTGGGTCATTCTGTTTGAACTTGCGTTCAAAGGTCGTGTGGCACGCTCTACCTTTTTGTTCTCTGCTTTTATTCCCTTTTCTCTGCTTATGTGTCATTTTTTTTTAAGCTCTACACATCACTCTCAGCTGAAATTTCACACTGTCTTGCTATTTTCTTCTTTGGCTGCAGAATTTATTCACTTGAATTGTCAAGAGCCACGTACTGGACTCGCAACTTTTAACGCTTCCTGCCACTTGTTACTTTTGATAACATTTTGGATAGTTTCATATATGCACTCAGAGGCCGTTTTATTAGGTACACCTGCTCATTAGCGCAAACAACCTGCTCCTCCAACCAGCGAATCATGTGGCCGTAACTCACAATATGCTGCACATAGGCAGGGTCAAGAGGTTCAGTTACTGTTTGACTATGTAGTTAAGAAGACTTGAATTTGGTGTGATTGTAGGTGACTGATTTGCTGACTCCAGTATCTCAGAAATTGCTATTCTCCTGGGCTTTTCACATACTACTGTATCTAGAGTTTACAGATAATAGTGTGATGAACAAAACCAAAACATCCAGTCAATGGTGGTTCTATGCCTAAGTGAGAGATCAAAAGAGAGTGGCCATTCTTGTTGGAGCTAGCAGGAAGGTCACAATTGCAAGTAGTTTGGGAGGAAAAAGTGGGTCATACTCAGTAGTAGCTAGGTGTGCCTAATGAAGTGGCCACTCAGTTAGTGTGTGTGTATATATAATATCAAATTTGATATATTCATAGGTATATTTTGTTTGTAATGTGCCCTTTTGAGAATTATTAAAAGAATAAGTTAATATAACTAGCATAACTTTGTTGAAGAATTATGATGTTGCAGCTTGTAAACCAGGCACCCCTGTAGAAAAAATAAATCTTGATTTGATGAATCCTTTTAAATGAGTGTCTATGTGTAAATGACTCTTTGGCCTGTATGTAAGTAATTCAACAACAGAAGTGCCAGGAATGGTCCTGCTCTCATATACATTCAGCCAGGTATTTAACCTGCATGTCATTCTTTTTAAGGAAAAATGTTACTTTTTAGCATAAGGTAAATTATTATTGCTATTGCTAATCTTCTGCACAGCTTATGAATTAATTGTATAGGGTTTTATTAAATGTAAATGAATTGAACAGTGATAATTTTGAAAGAAAAGGAGATTATAGGCCGTGTGCACAGTGCTAAAATGAGAATGTTGTTTGGGAGGCCTTTACCTGAGTGGGTCTGCAGCTCCAGGCTACCAGTCAGCTTGGACAGCTGGAGTGGCACCACACCTGCTTGGCAGCTGGCCTCTGCTATTGTTCTTTTGTATTTAGCATGCATCATTGGCTCGGGTTCTTTGAAAACACTTACAGTTTTGGACCACACTAACTCAATGGCTTAAGAGTTCAGATCTCCCATCGAGGATCCAAAGGACCTAACTCTCTAGTAAATAAGCACTGTGTGGTATGAAATTAAGACCTTTATCAGTAAGATTTTGTATATCTGATGTATTACTAGATATCTGTACGTACTACAATCCGGGGATTTCTGAGACTGTTCATTTGTGGCAATGGCATGCCAGCAGGGGGGGCTCTAGTTGCACCCACAGATCAACCATTAGTACTCAGTACTTAGTCACCATATGGACGCTGAAGCTTCTTAATCATATTTTTAGTTCTTAACACAACCTTCATTGTGTGTAATGTGCATAAAATAATAAACAAAACCACTCGGATCACTTCAGAATAAAATTAACAACCAAGTTTTGCATATTTTTAATTCAAGCATTTTAAAATTTTAATGTTAGTAGAGTTAAAAAAAAAAAAATCATTTATAGCACCCAAAAACGTAATATACCCACTACGTAATATGCACACTATTTGAAAAAAAAATAATTCACATTTAATTATCCCGTTGGAAACCATTTTTACTTCATGTTAATTGTCAGTATTTTAATGAAAGGGTAGTTCATTAAACCTAAAAATAATTCCCATTGGTCGCCTCATGGGGCGCAATAGAACCATTAGGGGGGCAGTTTCAATGCGAAAAAAATCACGTGGTTTTGCGTTGACCAATCACGAAGTTCCACACCCACAGCATTACGAGATCTGTTAGTTTTGTAATATTTGACAGGACGATAGACTTTCTTTACATAGATGACAGTAAATGATAAGTAAGTACGATTTTAATGGAAATCGGTAAAATAACCCGCAGAAATGAATATCAACCACTATGAATCCCAAATTCGAAATACTAACTGGTTGACGGCCTAATCCCCGCTATCTTGAGTGGATCTCGGTAGAAAATTTAGTCTGAACTTAAAATATGAAGAAAAGCCCGAATTTAAATAATCACGTCTAACAATAACTGCACTATTTGTGGTTTTAATGTAAGGAAAGGTTGCGTCGCCCCCCTTTATCGGGGTCGTCCGTTATTTAGCATAAACAGTGAGTCTGTGGAAAAGCATATGCAGCATTGACACCATGTGGCCATGGTGTGGCAGTGTTACTTTTGAAAGTGCCTGGTCGGTATCGGTGGCCTCATGTGGGGTAAGGTAGCTGTCAAATTAGAGTTCCATGGAATTTACGGATTCATACAGTAGAATAAATATTTGATTGCAGACCATTCTTTTTTTTTTTTTTTAACTATTATCTTGGTGATGCTGATAAACATTTACGTAAGCCTCCCACAGCCTGCCCCTAAAAAAACTAGTGATGCCATTTCTCATCTCTATTAAAATGTCAAGAATATGAAAAGCAGACTAAACAATGTCAAATTTCTTAATTTGAGTGTATTATAATAACTGTTAGTTCTTCAGTCCACTGTTCAAAGGGGATTTCAGATGTTCTTTTTCTGTTCCTGCACTATAGTCTGGTCGTGTGGTTTATAGTAATTGTTTTGCCTCTTTGGTATTTTTTCGGAGGTACTCATTTGCCTGTGTTTATGTTTTCTTATTTTGTCTTTCTCCTTGCACCAAATTATATTTACTTACTGTACAACTCTTCAAGCTGTCTTCTATAGAAACACAACTAAAGCCAGACTATAGTATTCCGTTGCTATCTGATGCTCACTATCACTTCTGGCCACCCTGTGTCAGTGATGAGGCACTTTAACCAATGGTGTCCTGCCAGTTCAGCTAAACAAACATGCTGGTAAAAACCAAGATTGTGTGGTAAACCAAAACAATCAAGCATTTGGTGAAGCTTTTCTTCGCCTGATGCCTTTGTTAAAGGTATGTATGTGTAAACAGCAATGTGACTTTGCAAAGGGATAGGGAGCTGAACTTACTGACAGTGTGGAGAGTGCCATTATCATTTTCATTGGTTTAATTATATCCAAGTTGAGATCATGGGGGTGTTCCACAAAGCAGGATTTCTCAGCTGAGTTAACTTAAGCCTGAAGTCATGATGTCCAGTAAGAATGCTCCTTACCTAAACTCCTATTGGACCATCATTACTTCTCTCTTAAGTTGACCCAGCTAACTGAGAAATCCTGCTTCGTGGAACACCCCCTTCATGTTCATGTTTAACGCTCTTAGCTGCTAAGCTTTGTGTGTATGGTTTCCACAGTTTTGTCAGTCAGCGATCGTCTGTGTTAATTTCATGTGCGCGGGGGAGACTCCGTGTGGTAGCATTACCGACACCAGCCCCTCAATCCAGAAATTACACGTTTTGTCCATAAAGACCAGGGGGTTCAAAGTGTCTGTCTGGCCAGTTCTGGGCAGCGTTTCTTTCAGCTTCACCCTATCATTCATTCTCCAGCTGTGTCAGTCGCAGTCATTCAATTAATCACTTCTCTGAGAAATGGTAGCTGTTTTCAGATAATACACAGTTTTACCTGTCAGCTCAAACCAGGACAACCCTATTGGCTATTTGTCTTTTTTAGACCCCCACTAACAGTGAACTGATCTTCTCTTGTTTTCCAATAGACTTTACTGATTTTTCCACAACTGTCCAATAATGAAGGAATTTGGGGAAAAAATATCTGTTGTTATGGATGGAAAAATACATCAGCTGAATATGAAGGTCCCAAGACAGGTAGAAGATGCAGTGAGAATTCTGTCCACGATTTACAAGCTTGCTGCTTCAGAACTTGGATCCACTTTGACGGTATGGCGTGTAATCAGGTTTGCCGTCTGTGTTAATCGCTGCATAACCAGCCTTGTATTAGAGCTGTATTACTGTCATAGTAGGTGGATTACAGTAATGTGAACAGAGATTGGCACAACACAGATATAGAATAACTAGATTGTGTATTGTCCTGGGTGGATGTGTACAATAATAATAAATATGGATCCCATACAAGTGTAAATTTATAGGATGGGTTATCAATATTCAGAGACTAATGAGATGCAGAGAAGGTAGGTACAGTCCCCCCCCCCCTCCTACATTAAACCTGCCACCTCCCTTCTTGGCCCATAAGGTATTTGGCCCAGCTTGGTCACTGAATAAATGCTCCAATAGTTTTTTTTTTTAAAGATAAAAGCAAACTAAACCAGACTTCTTCGGCTGTTGACGGGTCTTGTTAAAATAGATTGGAGTGAAAAAAAGGCAAATATTTTGTTTTGTTTGGTTTCCATGGCACCAAACACGGGCCTTATCCAGACAATGCACCTGTGAGCTTGGCAGTATTTCCCGTTTGTAGCTTGCAGGACATAAGCTCATTAACGGATCAATAGATCAGAATGTGCTTCCTAATATTACAAAAAAATGTTTTATAATGGATATCTGTCCTCTTTCTATAATTATATAAAATGAAATTATACACTTGTAAGTCGCAAAGCTTAAACCTGAGTTTGATGATATTTCAGTATCTGTTCAAATGTCTTCTGTGTGTGTGATTTTGTATATAGCTATATCATCATATTGCAGTTATATACCTAAAGAGTGTGCTGATGGTGACTTAAGTTTCACACTTAGCCCTGTACTGCCTCGCCACCTACTCTGTTTTCAGATGCTTATTTACAAGGCTTTCTGTGACATTTTCCAATCCTTAAGAGGGCTGCCCTCTGGTTCTGGCTCTTGTGCACACTCACTCACACTCACTCACACTCACTCCACTTGCGTTGCACTTTATTTTTGGCCCATTACCTTGCTGCTGACGGCTGTGATGCTGCCGTCCAAATTACTCCCCCTCT